AGTCATTTGCACTCTTAAACAGTGAGGAAAAATTACCACAGTGAGCAGAACTTACCTCAGGGTCAGGATAGCTTCCCTATTGTCTATCATTGCCATACAGGTGATTTACTAAATTAAGTTCTAGAAACTCTTGTTCAAAGACAGGTTTTTAAATTCTCTACAGGGAATTCTCTGTCCAGTGCTGTGCAGCAGCTGAGAGGATGAACAATGGCAAGAGTCCCTTACATGACCCTGTTCAGCCAGGGAAAAACAGTCACCAGACTCATTGAAAAGGTTGGATTTGTAGGTAAACCAAGCCACACATTTGGTTTCTTTAAACATCATCCCATTTGCCTCTTTCCTCCTTTTATGAGTGAATGCTGTGTTCAGCAGAGCTGGGTTTATAACTTTTCCATGCCATATTCCTATTTACCTAAGAGGCTCTTGCCTTCAAGATGGATAATCTAGTTGGACTTTTCAGGCATCCTTCTTTCACAGTTTAAAACATATAACTCAGCAAGCAAAAGCAAAAAACAGAAAAAATCCTGGAGTACTTGACTCTTTCCTTTAATTGCATGTTAGAAGTTTTAATTTTAAATTCCCAGAAAAGTGATCTTTACTGTTTAGTATAAGTGCCGCTTCCAGATTAATATCTAATTTAAGAGCAGCTATCATTTTCCCTTTGTTGAATTTTTTTTTCACTGCCTTCAAAATAGCTAAAAAAATCCTTGTGATACAGCACAATGAATGTTTGCAGATATGAATTCCATTATAGTTTACAGTGATTAAAACATGAAATAGGACTTGATATTTGGTCTTTGAGAGTTCTGCTGTAATTTGAAGCAAAGAGACCTAACAGCAAATAATTGTATTTATGTCCTTTTTACCTCAGGGCTTCAAACTGTGATGGGGATAACTATCATTTTTTCAGAAGGATACTTAGAAGATATCAGATATTAGGTTTGCTGTTATCTTTCTCTTTACTGTGGGTTTCATTGACTGTTCTGACCAACACACTAGCAAAGGGGCTGAGATAGTGGATGCTGATGTGTTTCTAAGAGAAGAGAAAATATGAGGGCATCTGTCTTACACAGGGTATCTATATTATTTTTTCCTTGCAGCAGCATCAAAATAAATGCATTAAATGTATTGTTTAAATTATAAAGACTTCAACATGCACCAGACTCTTATAAATCAGATTTCTTGGTTAATCTTTTGGTTTTGTTTCTTTGACTTCTTGTGGGTTTGTTTGTTTGTTTGTTTTAATATTTTTGTTTGTTTGTTTTGGTTGTTGGTTGTTTTTGCTGTTTCTTTTTTTTGTTGTTGTTTGTTTTTTTTTTAATGGAAAAAATCCACATACATACCTCAAAGAAAAACCCAAAGGATCTGTGCCAGCTGTGATCTCAGGAGAGCCCTAAGCATGCCCATCAATCTGTATCTACTCCAGGCTGTAAACAGCTATAAAATACACTGTACAGGGAAAATCTTCCTCTCACTCAACCATTCTTAAACACTCCTAAAGAACCTTAATCAAAAGCTACCACAGCTTTCTTCCATAAGAGTTCTGAGATATAAAGTGATTTTATGACTCATCTATGCCACTCTGTGTAGTGAGATGGAGCAGAACACCTTGCACAGACAGACAATTAAATGTGATTATCCTAAATTTCTTGATTAATGCCTTTCAGATTTTTCATCTGAGCGCGACTGTGGAAGTTTATATCTCGGTTAACAGGTCCATTTTGAACATGTGTTTAGTTCAATTTAGTATTCAGTTGTTTTGCCAAGTAGATGCACCTCAACTTGTCTGTCCTTTTCCACAGTGTAGTGATGATTGGATATGGGCTTTATGGAGAGGAAGTAAAAAAAAATTACAGAAATAAACCCTTTTCTAGCTGCACAGTCACCACATGAGGAAGCTTCTTGTGCTGAGGGCTCCATGCCACCAATCCAACTCACTGGAAGGGGGTGGGAGTTTTTCAGGCACTGCCAGACAGCGTTGGCGTGGCCCCAAAACCCCACACTTGTGCTTAAAAATACTTTGAACAAGGAGAGGATGATGGCAGGAGCTTTTTTAGACTCAGTCCAAGCAGCTCAAGCTGTGATAAGGGAGTCAGTCATTTCCTTCACCCAAATGCAACTGCTCAGGATAAAGAGAGAGACACAGAACCCTGGAATGGCAAAGTGGAGGAGTTTTAATTCCCCATGAAATACTTCACAGTGTCTCACAGAGAGATTTTTTAGCTGTGACTTTTATTTTGATTTTTACATAAAATTGATGCCAAAATTTTAACACAGAATTCAAACATAAAATAATTGACCATTTAAATATAAACAGGTTAAACCAGGGGGAATGAGTTTAAGTAGGTTGTTTTTTTATTTTTTAAAATGAAGCCAACACAGATTAGAAGTAATTTCCAAAAATGCTGAATTTCTTTGAAAAGCATGTTATAATCAAAAATTTCAATCTCAATGAAATTTCTTTTTCCAAAAGACATCTGTGCACCTAAAGGAAAGCAAACAATTTACCATCTAAAATATGAACATATGTGGCATTTAGGGACATGGTTTTTCAGTGAACATGGCAGTGCTGGGTTAATGGCTTGATTCCATGATTTAAAAGATCTTTTCCAACATGAAAAATTCTCGGGTTTTATATCTTTGGACAAGTAAGATACTCTAATGAGAGAACACAGAGTATTGCCTTCTATTTCTGCCTGTGGTCTCAGAAATTTGTTAATGTATTCTTCAGTTTTCCCAAGGGTTATAAAATCACATTGACAGTAGTTTTTACTTTAATGGACACTCACACAGAACAAAACTGGCCCAAGCTCTCTGGGTATGGCTTATCAGTTCATTCACTGGAGTAAATAGCCTCTATAAGGAAAAATTCTCATTTATTTAAGAGTCTCTGTTCATCATGATAGTGAGAAAAATAGCTACAATATCAGTTTTCAAGCCACAGTCATTAGAAATAGGTAAACTGCATGTTGATGGATGGGTTTATTTTAGGGTAACTGGTCAAGAAACCAAAATCCTACAAGATGGAGCTGATTTTTCATGAGCCAATTTTGGCTGCAGGACATCAACATCTGGAAAGTTTGATATGGAATTTGTTGGATTTTTTTTCTCTCAGGTGGTCCTCTTACAACTTATCTAGATTCTGGTTAAGGAGACAGTCTGAGTTATTTTTAAAATACAAATATTTCATAGTTGTCTTTGTTGTTTTCTTTTTGTTTGCTTGGGGTTTTTTTTGTTTTGAGGGGGGGGAGTTTGTATTTATTTCTGATAACCTTTTATCCAATCAATTGCAGCAGACAGTGATCAATATGAACAATGATTATTAGAACTGTAGTTGTTGCTACCAGGTCATATCTTCTCCTGTACAAAAATCCTATTAAATTTTAGTGCAGGACTATGGCAGATTTTTTGTAAGGTAGATTCACTCCATTCCCATAGAAACAAATTATTTTTATTATAAATTAATAAGTTCAAGTCTGAGATGCACTGAGTGATTTTAGGATGCATCACTGTGGTTCTCTGTGCCATCAGATCCATTCTGGAAATGGCTGTGTGTAGGCAGATAAATCAAGAAAGAAATAGAGTTTTTATTACAAATCTTATAAATGTCTACCATTTACCATTTCATTGACATGTTGAGGGGAATATCTGCAAAAAGTGAGTTTAACAATATTTCAGTTTATGTTGCTGGCTCATTCACACCCTGCCATGTTCAATGCTGCAGTTTTAGAATTTCAGGGTGTCAGAAACAGATAAACTCCATGTTGAACAACAACAAGCACCCTTGCTTGTTGGCTTACAAACAAAAGCCTATTGTTAAATCCAGAACTAACATCATTGCCAAAAATGAAATAATCTGAGATGGAGAAGACAAAGAATTCTGAAATTTAAAGTTCCTATGGCAACACTGACTTGGACAACCTGCCACAAAAAATAATAGTTTCTCTATTCCTTTATGGTAGGAGGTGCAGGTAGGAAGAACACTGCTGGAATAAACATGGTCAAAAACACACAGCCTTTCTGATTAAGTATGTTTTGATACCAAACACAAGCATGTCAAGCCCAGGTTTTTAAATATGTTCAGAAATACATGAACAAGAAGCCCAGAGTTCAGTACTAATGCACAGATTCTGTGTGTTATCCTCTCAGGGAGATCAAATCCTTTTATACAGACACCCCCCTGTTCAGCTGAATACATTTGCTTACTATCCAATTCCTACACTGTTTTTATTTCAGTTTAAGAGATGCTTTTGCAATCAGATATAGAGTTTGCTCTGTTCATTTAATCTCATTTACTTCATTTCTCAGGAGGATTCTGCCCTGGAAATCAGCACTGAGAAAGTGTTTGAGAGGAGTTTATTTGTATGTAATTAATTACTTCCTATATCTGAGGTGGTTTGCAGCACAAACCAAGAATAAAAGCCTCTTTACCAGGTACTTTAATCAAGATCTTGCAGTATTGATTTTATCCAGCAAGAAAACTGTCTCCATGATCCCAAAGTTCTGCTAAGGTTCTTATAGAGAATTCAGTATGTGCAGTGTATGACAGGCATGGGAAATATTTAAAAAGTGTGATAAAAATCATCTGAATGCCAAATATTTTACAACTGTAATTTTGAGGCAGACGGTGTAAGTCTTGTCACCTGTACGCCTCTGCTTAAATCTTCCCTCAGGATTTTCTTTGTGCATGTCACCAAGATAGTTCCAGAATTATAATTTTAAAACATTTTTCATTCAAATTGCATTGTCATTTCCAGATATCTGAAAGCCTGTAGGATGTGAAAACCTCATTTGCCAGTGCACTTTGCATCCCAGGATGCTCCAGTTCTACAAAATTCAGGGGATACTTTGACCTTGAAATTTAAGATGAAACCTCACATCCCATACTAGGAGAGCTTGATACCAAGCCACAGATGTGATACTGATTCACATAAACTTTCCCCATTTTCACTGACCCATTATGATGTGCACCCAAATCTTCATATTGTAAGATCCCTTTTCCAAAGGCACTTTGCTCCCACACCCAATATCCTTCTCTTTAACTGTTAAAACAGCAGGATATTGTCTCCCAGTAGAAAAATCATCTCTGCAGGATTTTATCACGATTCTTTAATTTGAGACTAGTGAGAAACTGTGTGATCCAACAGGACAATGAGTTGTGAAGCGTCATGCCTGGCATTGTTACACCCCCAAAGGATTATTTCTGCAGGATTAAAATAAGGCTACTGAAAGTACAGCAGTACTGAAACTTGAATTCTTGTGTCAGCTGAGGACCTGGCTCTCTTCCCTGAAGTTTTTGCTCTCCTTCCCAGAAGTGTCAGCTGAAGTGAGACAGCAATTCCAAGGGCACCACTGACTTACCAGCAGATGAACAAGAGCCCAGCACTGCAACTCCTGCCAGTGACTGACAAGAAAAGGAACTTTTCTTTTATTTCAGGAAGTCCTGAGATCTATGGGCAGCTGACCTTCAATGTCTATGAAAACTGTCCATGCATGGATGGGAGATCTACATTTACCTTCTGCTATTTCTGGTTGTGAGAGAGTTAATTCAAGAGCAAATTAACCTTCCTCCACTGCTTTTCTGCAGTGGCCCTTGTGGTCTCTTCTAGAGCAGATCTCATGGCATTTGCTAGGAGGGGGGAAAATATTAAAATTTTACAAGTGGAATGCATTTGAGGGAGTCCTCACAACTGTGTGCATTATTACCTCAACATAGCCCATCTTTTGCAGACAGAGTTCTTTCTTGATAGGCCACAAAAATCATCCTGACACAAGCACACAGGGTTTGTGGCCAGCTGGAACTCAAGCAGTTTGAACTGCAAGGGGAGATAGGCTTGGACATACTGGGCTTTTCTCAGAACCAGGCTACACCACAAGCACTGCTTCCAAAACATCACTTCAGGCAAGGAAAGTAAATTCTGTACCTGTTCTCAAATATCCTTCTTGCATAGAATAGTTCATCTTCCTTGTACAATCTGCAAGGCAAAATTTAGAGACAATCCTTAAAAACATCAGGTGCTTTGGGGAATCAACACATGAAGTGAAAATCAAGGAGGAAGAAAGCACGTCCTTCTTGGTGAGACAAGTGGTTTTCAGAAACGCAAATAAACAATTTCAAAGCATTTTCATGTCTGAAGTGTCTTTTAGACTGTTCAGATGGTAAAATCTCCTACCACTCCTTTAAATGTTAGAGATGCTAAGCCTTAAACTTACAGATCCAGCTACCTTACTCTTCTAACAGTGTCAGATCTTGAAACAACTTTTGCCTTTAATATGTTAATATTCTTCAGCAGCACGAAGCACACATATAATCCTGCTTTTCTTTTTACCTCTCCTCTCTTCCTGGGCTTTATTGGCTTCATGAATTTTGGGAGGAAAATGCAGTATTAATAACCATCTCGAAGAAAACCTGCTACCACCACTTCCAAGGTGATGCAGAGGTAGTTTGAGGTACAATGTGTGGCTACAAAAATAATCTGTGTTGTAGGACAAGACCTTTTAGAGAGACCTGTAAGCCCAGCTTTGGAATTGGCCTGCAATGTCATTTAGCTTCTCAGTACCTCTCCAAGTTCTTGTAGAAATACAAGGCTGATCAAAGGTACAGGATGGTATCAGGATGATGAGTGTATAATAGACCAGCTCTTTTCAGCCTGGAAAAAAAAAAGAAAGATGAGTGAAGAAGTACATGACAGATGCCATCAGTGGCACATAAAAGATAAAAAGATAACAAGTCGTTCATTGTCTCTTTCAATGGAATGAAATATAAAGCAGGCAGATCCAAAATAAGCATGCATTTTCAAAGTGGAGAGTTAAAAGAGTACTCCTTGCCACAGGCAGTTGTGCATCAAACTTTTAGAAGCATTGAAAAGGCAATTGATGAAGTTGAAGATAATAATAAAATAATTAATTCACTGTGGGCTATTATGCAAAGGCACTTCTGCTGGTTAGAGAGACTCTAAACAGAAATTTCATCAAACTGGTATAAAACACTCCAGGAAAGGATCATAGCTGGTTTCTCCCACTCCATTTTTCTCCATTTTATTTTATATTTTATATATTTTATTCCATTTACCAACCATTGGTCATGCTGTGGGACAGAATACAAGGCTAGATGAACTACAGGCAAAATACCACATCCTGCATGGAAAATATAAGGAAAACCCCATATTTTTATGTCAAGAATAGATTTTTCTGAGTGCTTTGCAAACTCATTTGAAGTATGAAATATTACTAAAGCCTGCTCATTGATAAACTGCACACTCCTTTTCCCATTTTGTCCTTGTGTAGATTCTGTATGAAAAAAACATGACAAGAAGTTTTGTACAGTTAAGACTGTTCAGGATTTGGAAATATAACCCCTTAATCTAGGGAAGGGATGATCTCAAAATATTGCTGATGGCCTTATTGTAAACTGGTTAGGAGTTTCCTTTCTATAGCAGTGATATGCAATTCCTAATCCCAAATATTAACTTCCTAATTTCTACCTTTAAATCAAGTGAGTTTGTAATCAATTTTTAAATCAGGTGAGTTTGTAAGGTACCAGAGAATTCCACCAAAGGGATCCATCAGGTGTTGCCATAACATTTAACAGGTTTGGTGTCACACAGTATTTTTACCACACAGAAACCAGAACAGCACGTTGAGGTAGGAATTATGGTCCTGTCACCAAGTCTTGCTTAAAAAGAGTTGCAAAGGAACTCCCAAAAGAAGATGGAAGAGGTGTGATGTTGAAAACTGAAAGCACAGAATGAAGCACCATCCCTACTTACCCCAGTGTGTCACTGTCTTCAAAAGAGATAGAATACACTTGGAAGTTCAATTAGAATTTCCTGGCATTAAAAAAAGTTGCAGCTGAGATCAAGTAAATCTCATTTCTCAGTGAAAAGAACACAAGACCTTGTACTTCTCCTCTATAAAAATCTAGAATTTTTTTAGATCTACCTCAGTACTGTCAAAATTATATGAGGTGAAAAGTACAGGGCAATACCAGTACTTTTTTGCTTTTTTTGCTTGTTCTTTTCCCCAGTTGTCTAAGTGGCTTTATCTAGAGTAAATCAATATTGGGTTTGATTACACATAAGTAGTTGTCTAAATATTTTTATTATTAAATATTTTTTTCTTGATATTTCCTGGCCTGGCAACTGTTCATGTTATTTGGTTTCTTGCAGGGAAGGTGGAGTTAAAATAATGGCTAAGTTGGATGCACAGTCACTGCACGTTAATATACTTTTTCTTGTGAATGTAAGTTAAATAACTATAATCACTATTATACATGAACTCTGCTGGTAGAGCCATTGCTCAGTGATGGAACCAAATGTCCTCTAAGTAGTCAATCTTTAAAATAAATTCTTCAGCATTTAAAATGCATAGCTGGCAAAACTGTGCTCATTTGGTAAATAAAATGGGGTCACAAGTCATAATATCCCTTACATCTTAAAAAGCCCTCTACTCATGGTAACTGTGAACAGACTAGATTTAACCTGCTGAAAAGAAGTGTACAAGGACCCTGGAAACTTTAGCTCAAGGATTCTGTCACTACACAATACAGCAGTGTTGATACTGACCTTAATATATCTTCTTGTTATATGAAAATATCAAAGGAAAAATTCCCCAAACAGGACAAAAAAATTCCACATATCTCCATTTTTCTGTGGAGGAGGTTGTTCAGATATGTGTTCAGCTACAGAAAGTGCTAACAAATTATTTAACAAACTGCTGTGACTCTGCATCTGAGGTTTTCCCAATGTCACAAACTCAGCTCATGAACCAATAAAAGATAAAATTATTGGACCTAATAAAGAAGCATTAGTTGAATTTCCATGGGCCAAACTGCACAGCATGATAAATCATCATGAGGTACTCTTTGGCTTGAAGAACATCTTTAAATTTATGAGCTGGTCCCAGCCATCAACTCAGAACTAGCTCTTCAGGCTTCCGTAAGCTGGATATTGGAAAGGCTAGACCTGCTCTTTAAAAATGACTCTTTGCATGTGCCTGACTTAAAACACCCCAAAGAATTCTGATGAGAAGGAGGGAGTTTATTCTTCTCAATACCTTGTATTGTAAGAATAGAATTAGGCCCCAATGGCTGCCTACAAGTTTCAACATTATAGCAATGACAAAACCCACCAGAATCTAACTTATCTGTGTTGTTACTATGAAGGCCAAAAACTTCAGAGACCTTGGAATAATTTCTCACTTCTCTACTCCCTCTTCTCTCTCAATTTCCCTACCCATTTCTCCTCTTGCTCTTTTAATGAATATTTATTTAATAGTGGAGGAGTGAGCAGAGCCACATTCAAAGTTTAAATTTCTCCATAAAAATATAAAAAAAAGTCATATGAGCAGCCCTGTGCTCCCTGACAAAAACCCAAAATAACCTCAGCCTTCAACCTAGTGAGTCCCTGGACAAAACCTAGATCTTTTCATGTTCATACATTGTACATGGATAAGTCTTTTTTTACTAGCAGACAGGTAGATTCTTGCATTGCAGTTACAGTGACAATTCCCTTAGCATTCAAAGCAGATACTTATGGAATTAGCTGACAATAGAGTTCATGTTTATATGCATGGCATGCATTTACACTTATAACTATGTCATGATCTACAACATCAGTTAATGTGAAAATTATGCCTTTAGGTTTAGCACTGTGTAAATGCCAGCTAGGTGGAATAGAGAAGTCCATTTAGCTTTTTAAGTACAGCCTCCAAAGGCAGTTTAGAATTTTTAGTTAGCAACTACATTAATATTTTTTTTTATTCTTTTATTATAGAAATGGGTAGAAAAAGCCATTTGACACTGAATACAATGAACAATTACACCTGCTCTCCACTCTTTGCTTTTATTGCAAAAGGCTGTGCTTTTATTGCAAAGCTATTTACTACAAATTGCCTCACTATAACATCCTGTGTTAGCATCTTTGCTGTAATAACCAAGGATGTTCGTGTCACTACATTAACCACCATCCTCTGACCCTGAAGGGTTGAAAGACTTTCCAAGATGATGTATTTTCCTTTGGACAGAAATTATAAGTATAGTACCGAGTTGCAAGAAAGAAAAACATGTTCCTCTGGGCTAACTTGCCTCAACATAGTATCTTAAAAACACACCAGTCAAGCAGTTTCACCCCTGATCTTAAAACATGACTGGTTATAGGAGTTTATCTATAGGAGAATTGTCAGATAATGGGGTTTAAATAATTATTTTAACCAATTCTGTCAGCTGTAGAAGCACAAATGAAGGAGCCAAGATGGCACACACTCAGGTTTGGCAGCTGCTAATAAACCTGAGGGATTTCCATTATTCAGGCAATAATACCTGCACAGAGAACCACAATTACAATGCAGCTCCTCTCACTCATTAAAATCTGTGTGCAAACGAAACAAAATCTCAATGTCCTTAAAGTCTAAAATGGACCTTGTGAGACTATTCCTGAAATAAAAACAAGCTACATTAGAAGTGTCTACTGCAAGATCAATAGCAAAGAGGACTCTATTGGGAGTGAGTGGAGCTGCAATAGAAGTGAAAATGTTTCTAGGAAGAGGAACAGCCGAGTAAGAAGAGTTCTGGCCAATGCACCTCAGACAAGAAGGAAGGGCTGAGGGAAGCTAATCTTCCAGCTGTGCCAGTCCCAGCCATTGTTCCAGCTGGTACCAGCTGAGCAGGATTGTTTTCCTCTTTAATAAGTCTTAGTTTGGTTATGCTGAATATTTTTTTTATCAACTTATGGAAATAATTTAATGCAGAATGTCTTGGTATTTCACCATTATTCCCTCTGATGAGCACATCCCTTTAGGAACCTGACAACTGCTGCTATCACCACGAGTTTTACCTCTATTTATAGAAGTAAAAGTGGGTTTGGGTTATTTAGGTAAAAATCATGATTGCATAATCTAAGTGCTAAAACCCTCATCTGGAAGAGAAAGCCCTGGGAGCCCAGCCCTCTACCAGTGTGATTTACCTGATCATTACTTCATGGAACATGGGTATTTATGAGAAAAAAAAAAACAACAAAAAACCAACCCACAAACACTTCTAATAAAAAATTGAAAAAAAACCAAGTAAAAAAAAATGATCCAAGCTGGTATCTTAACTTCTAAGTCATATGAATATTAACTTTAATACATACAAATAAGTATATTTTGCAATATTTCTTCCAAAATCTCTGCCATTCCCTGTTTGCATGCACACATACATGGACAGGCTCAAGACAAATATAACTCATTCAGTTGCATTTATTAATATATATTATATATTTCCACATCTTTTATTTTCAGTTAATGGATAGTAAATCCACATCTTTTTGTACTTATGTTAGTGCATAAACAAACTAGTTCCTACTTATAATTCCAATTTCTAGAGATTTAAAGAATTCCCTTCACAAATAACCTTGATTTCAAGGCAGTTAAATTAAACCTAGGATTCTAAAACATGAATTATTTATTTTTCCTGTGACTGTTAAAAGTGATTTAATCTGTTTATAAAGGGGAAGTTCAATTTTATTTAACTTTTCTTAAAGATCCCTGTGGTGCAGAATGTTTTACCTTGAAACTGTCACCCTTGCCTCTTAAAGAGAATCCAGAGAGAAAACAACTCTCCTCAGACATAAAGCAGTCATATATAATTTATTTTTGGGCTTTATAATAGTATTTTCTATCATTATTAATTTGTAATTAAGAAGCAATGAACAAAAATTATTGCACGGTTTCATTTCTGCCCCAATTAACATTTTGGATTTTGCTTTGGGGTCTTCATTAGAAACAAGTTGTCAAGCTAAATGATGTAGCAAGTTATCTATATTTAGCAATCTGTAATTTTAGCTTGTGTTTTACTGGTTGAAAACACAAGCAACTGACACCACTGCAGACAACAGGAAAGAAGAATGAATTAATATGAAAATTCCCAATAGCATGTATTAATCTTCTGTGACTAAAACCCTCAGCCTGGCCTTTCTTTGAAAAGACCAAGATTTCCAAACTGATTAAACCTAGAGGCAAAGCTGTTTTGCAAGTATCTTGCAAAAAGCCCCAAGCTGCCCTAAACTTTAGACTAAAATTTAGCTGCAATCCAATTTTTCTTAGATAGTCATGCTCCAGCTTGTAATTCTTTCAATTTTATTCCTCAAAATCTGCTGAACTTGGAGTCCAGTTTTTATAAATCAAAAGTGTGCTTGCATTTTACCTGATCTCACCAGATGTTTTAAAATTGTTCTAGAAAGCAGGGTTCTGTTTATGCTACTGGGTTCAGTGAGTTTTGCTATTGGAAATAAGCCATGGTACATTTCTGCTCTGAGTGGACAACGTTACACCAGAAGTACATTCTAACATTAATTCTAACATTAACTGGCAATTCGTTAAGCTTAGCTGTGCCATCAATTAAGTTTAATTTTACCCAGGTATCATCCAATGTATCCAGAGGCACAATCAGGTATTTCAATGTTTTAGGCCTTATTCCTACAACTTCTGAAGTACAAAAGAGCTCACAAATACATGGTTTGTAAAATGCAGGCAGAAACAATCACAGCAACTCTGATGCCAAAGGAGCTCAGAAATCTGTGCACAGGTTAGAAGCAGCTGTTCAGATCTGGAGAAGTCAGTTCTGGTCTGATTCATCTGAAGTAACTGCAAGCTCCATTTCTGCCTTCAACACCACAAATACTGAATTAAAGACTAAATCTGTACTCAACACATTTTCTCAAGCAGCCAAAAGGCTTTACACTGTCAATGCAATTCCCATTGTAATTTTTTCCTCAGAACTAAATAAATCTGGAGGCTGGTTTGACTCCTCATTTCTGAGAACAGGACCATACTTTAGACCAAGTTACACCATAGTTATTCCAAATGGGAAGAAATCATTCCATTTTAGATACTAACAAGAGTCAGAAATCCTCATTGGGCCAATCAATAGCAGGACCTGGCACTACTCAGTGTGGCCTTCTGAACACAAGTGTCTTACTATGAAAGTGACTGATTAGCATAAAAATGGAATTTAAATGATTATTGGTTGGGATATTTTTGAGGTGGATTCTGACTTTCCTGTGCAGCTGGAGACAAAATATATCCACTTTGATATCAAAGAATATTAAAAAAACCCACTGCTAAATATAGAATTAACATTGAAACTGCTTTTTCCATTATTACTTGCAACTAGTATAAGCTGACAGACACATGGGAGATATCCAGTGTTTTTCCAAATACTAGTTTTAATACTTGGTAATAAAATTGTTTATGTGAGATGTTGACATAATTGCTTGCAGATGCAAATTAAGAAGTTATTTCCTAAGCTGTGCAGAACTGAAATCCTATGGCATAAAAGTAGGAGTAAATAAATACTGCAATATTTTTTGTAGAACATTTAATACACCATGTGTCCCATAAATCAGAAGAAATGCACTGCTTCCCTTGCTTCTCTGGATTTAGTCCTACAAAAGATAGGGTTACCTAAACTTCAATCCTGCCCTGAACTTAATCCTTTGCATTTTATCTCAAAAGGTCTCACCAAGTGTGTGAAATAATACATTGAATCATACTGGGGATGATAGGGAAAAAAAAGAGCTTAAAAGCATGAACTGAATAAAGCTAAATCAAACCAATGAGCACCATAAAATCTTCTTGAAGTCAAAGTGTCTTTGCCAACCTTTTGGCAGCTTAATATTCCAAATATTCAAAGTTGGATCCTTAGAAATATGCAGAAAGTGTCTCCTGTCCATAGCCAGACTTCACAGAGAAAAGTTGTTTCTTTTTCACACAGGTAATGTTTAACTCTCTTGATCTGATGCCTGGAGAGGCTGCCTGGAGCAGAGGCTGGACAGAGTTAAAGGAATAAAGTGAGTATTTATTAAAAGGCCTTCAAAGGATACACCTTGGCCAGTACAAGAGCCTGGCTGTGTCCCTACCTAAGATGGACGTAAGATGGACCCCAAGTCATGAGATTTCACACTTTTATATATTTTAGTCCATTTACATATAGGGGTTAATTGTCCAATTGCAGCTTCAGGTTATGAAGTCCCATCCTCCCAGACTGCTTTCCTCAATTTGCTGTTGTTTAGACTTTTTTGGCCCAAAGTTACAACAGTGTCTTTGGTTCTTAGGCAGGAAAAGGATTGTGTTGTTAACTACACTGTGAAGAGAACTTGCTAACACTTTATTTGGAGTTCAGAGTTATGTACTAATGCAGTACAGAATCTGGAAAATATGAAAGCTAAAACTTAAGGTATCAGATCCACCTAGCTGCAAAGATCTGAACATCTCTTCAGAAGAGGTTTGTGAGACTTTCATGACTGTAATACTGTATTGCTGAGTGGCTGCTCCCACAAGGTTCCCACTGCCCCTGAGGAACCCCCTTCAAAAAGCATGTCTGGCTGCTGAATAGTTGTGGATTTATACTTAATAACAGACATTTTGCAAAGCAACATAAAACTCCAAATAAATCAGACCAGAATGATTGTCTGACCTTGAATCAAAGTGCCCTAACAAAGCTTCTGTCCACACGCCCAAGCTCTTTTTTCCTCAGAACTGTCAGAATAGAGTTTCCTTCCCTTTTGAACCAGTAATAGTGCTTGGCAGTAACTCTAAGCTGCAATTCTATGCACTTAGAACTCAGTCTCTCTAGGAAGCCTCTTTTAAGCTTGAGAACGAGCTGGTCGTTCAATATTTCTGTCATAAAGATACTTCCAGGCTTTTTCTGTAGATATAATGACCAAAAGAGTAGTGCTGAAATTCTCATCACAGCTCAAAGACTTCTAATTCTAACAGTAGAGCAATATCCAACCCATATCAACCACCAGAGTTAAGCTCTACATAGCTTATATTTCCAGCTTTTGGACCATCAATTTGGCTGCTCACAGAGCTCAAGATGATGAGAAATAAATTGTGTCCTGATTATCCAAGTGCTGTTCCTCAGGAGCAGCACACTTATACAAACATGAAGTAATTCCTTCATAAGGAAACTGCTTCACCAACATAAATGAGAACATAAAAATACCAAAATATCCATTGTCTGCAACTTAATAAAGCAAATAGCAGGTAAAAAGCAGGTTTAGTTGACCTACCCCTCGTTGTAGCCATGTGCTAGAACAGCAAAGAGATGCAGAGCTTGAGGTCCAAATTCCACTTAAAACACTGGCAACCAAGCTGTCAGAAAAAATGGGTTTTCTCTATTATTTTGTAGGTCTGATTATGCCCTAACCAGGCTAAAGCAAACAAAATAATTGCTATTGACTGAAAAATAACAAAAATAAAAAAAAAAATCTTGTTTTTCTGGGATTATTAACATCACCATTCAGGGTGCTTGAACTCCACTTTAGTCCCCCAGACCAGGTTTTGGAAGTGATCTGGGTATTCTAACCACACTGCCCATCAGCTGGTGATTCACAATTTGCAAATGTTGCTAAGAGTGATGAAAATTTTACTTATGCAAAACTTTAGAAGAGGTTATGGCATTGACCTTAGAGTTAGTCTAGAAAACAAAAAAGTCAAGATTAATCACTATATATTAACTAATTGATGTTGGAAAATATGCTTCCAGAGCATAATATTTCTATGAACTTGCTCCACCCCAATACATCCAGGAGAGGTATCTCCAAATACCATTTTACAGAGAAAATGATGTCATTTCACATATTTAACATATTTGTTAATAATTTTTGTAGTTATTTGATGTTTCTTAATTAATACAGTAAACCAGGACAGAAAAAAAATATTAATCAAATACTTTATCTCATACAGGTTATTTTACTCAGATCATGAAAAAAATCAAACCAATTACCATGAATTAAGCATTAGATGCACTTTTCCTTTTGATTATGCATCTGCTATCCAGCTTGATAAGACAAGAATCATCAGATACAAAGGCGTTATGTCGAAAATAATTATAATTAAGTTTAACATAGCCAGAAGCCAACCCTTCATTACAGCACTGAAGAAATTTCATGTTAATGAGAAGGCACATCTAAACAGACAGTTTCACAGCTTTAGAAAATGAGAACTCCTCTTCCTTCTAGGCAAACAAACAACAATGACAAAGTAATTTTCCGAGTTCTGGTCCTGCCAGGACCTGCCTACAACTACTATATCTGAATTACCAGATCACTTCCTTTGCTTGAGATTTGGATTTCAGATTTATTTCACTTGTAGGCATCACATTAAGCATCTTGTCATTCCAAATTGTAGTTGCCTCTTCATTCTGCAGTTTTATTTCTCATTTGGATATCACTTAGAAGACATCTGCAAGTTAGGAGTAAACACACCATGCCATGGATTTTTACTATATGCCTCTGCTTGGTTCTTTGATGGTAGAATTTATAAAAGCATAGTGATTAATATGAATTCTTGTTCTCATCATATTTTCACTATTCCCACATTCAGCTACAATATGTTGTCACCCAAACTATATATGAAATTTTCTTCATAACTTGGTTGTGAATTTTTGTTTGGTGGGTTTTTCTTTTGTTGTTGATTCTGTTCTCTTGTTTCTTGGGGCTTGTTTTTTTTCCTTAGATTATAGAAAAAGATAATTCTGTGAAAGAGGATACTGAAAATTAAATGAAGTCAAGATAAATGACATCCAAAAACAACCCCAAAAAGCTTACCCACAGCTTACACTGAAATCCACACTTCCCATTGGCAGTCACCTTCCTTTTTCTCATGCACCTGATTTTTGCTTTCAAGAACACTTGTTACATACTTTTCCATGGAATTAAAATTTAAAACATTTACATCCTTTCCATGTTCTTTTCTGACACTCATTAACAAGATGAGCACAACAACTGCTATTTTTCAGTCATTAAAACCCTCCTTATCTCCATACATTGGTTCTAAACCTTATTAAATGCTGGCAAACACATTTATAGCCCTGAGAGACATAAGTTTAAGAGAGGAGTGTCTTTCCCAGTAAAAGAAATCCCTCAGAGATGCTGCCCTTCACCCAATTGGTCTGCAGATAGACTGGATAATGTTAAGGTTAAAAATTCTTATTTGTAGNTTTGTAGGTCTGATTATGCCCTAACCAGGCTAAAGCAAACAAAATAATTGCTATTGACTGAAAAATAACGAAAATAAAAAAAAAAATCTTGTTTTTCTGGGATTATTAACATCACCATTCAGGGTGTTTGAACTCCACTTTAGTCCCCCAGACCAGGTTTTGGAAGTGATCTGGGTTTTCTAACCACACTGCCCATCAGCTGGCGATTCACAATTGGCAAATGTTGCCAAGAGTGATGAAAATTTTACTTATGCAAAACTTTAGAGGCGGTTATGACATTGACCTTAGAGTTAGTCTAGAAAACAAAAAAGTCAAGATTAATAATTATACATTAACTAATTGATGTTGGAAAATATGCTTCCAGAGCATAATATTTCTATGAACTTGCTCCACCCCAATGCATCCAGGAGAGGTATCTCCAAATACCATTTTACAGAGAAAATGATGTCATTTCACATATTTAACATTTGTTAATATTTAAATTATAATAATATAAAATTAATATTTAATGTCACAGGCAATTCTGAATTTCTTATTTTGGTTGACCAAACTAACAATTCAAGTAAGTTATTTATGAAAATAAGCTTCAACTAAATTAGATTTTTGTAGTTATTTGATGTTTCTTAATTAATACAGTAAACCAGGACAGAAAAAAAATATTAATCAAATACTTTATCTCATACAGGTTATTTTACTCAGATCATGAAAAAAATCAAACCAATTACCATGAATTAAGCATTAGATGCACTTTTCCTTTTGATTATGCATCTGCTATCCAGCTTGATAAGACAAGAATCATCAGATACAAAGGCGTTATGTCGAAAATAATTATAATTAAGTTTAACATAGCCAGAAGCCAACCCTTCATTACAGCACTGAAGAAATTTCATGTTAATGAGAAGGCACATCTAAACAGACAGTTTCACAGCTTTAGAAAATGAGAACTCCTCTTCCTTCTAGGCAAACAAACAACAATGACAAAGTAATTTTCCGAGTTCTGGTCCTGCCAGGACCTGCCTACAACTACTATATCTGAATTACCAGATCACTTCCTTTGCTTGAGATTTGGATTTCAGATTTATTTCACTTGTAGGCATCACATTAAGCATCTTGTCATTCCAAATTGTAGTTGCCTCTTCATTCTGCAGTTTTATTTCTCATTTGGATATCACTTAGAAGACATCTGCAAGTTAGGAGTAAACACACCATGCCATGGATTTTTACTATATGCCTCTGCTTGGTTCTTTGATGGTAGAATTTATAAAAGCATAGTGATTAATATGAATTCTTGTTCTCATCATATTTTCACTATTCCCACATTCAGCTACAATATGTTGTCACCCAAACTATATATGAAATTTTCTTCATAACTTGGTTGTGAATTTTTGTTTGGTGGGTTTTTCTTTTGTTGTTGATTCTGTTCTGTTGTTTCTTGGGGCTTGTTTTTTTTCCTTAGATTATAGAAAAAGATAATTCTGTGGAAGAGAATACTGAAAATTAAATGAAGTCAAGATAAATGACATCCAAAAACAACCCCAAAAAGCTTACCCACAACTTACACTGAAATCCACACTTCCCATTGGCAGTCACCTTCCTTTTTCTCATGCACCTGATTTTTGCTTTCAAGAACACTTGTTACATACTTTTCCATGGAATTAAAATTTAAAACATTTACATCCTTTCCATGTTCTTTTCTGACACTCATTAACAAGATGAGCACAACAACTGCTATTTTTCAGTCATTAAAAACCTCCTTATCTCCATACATTGGTTCTAAACCTTATTAAATGCTGGCAAACACATTTATAGCCCTGAGAGACATAAGTTTAATAGAGGAGTGTCTTTCCCAGTAAAAGAAATCCCTCAGAGATGCTGCCCTTCACCCAATTGGTCTGCAGATAGACTGGATAATGTTAAGGTTAAAAATTCTTATTTGTAGAATCAGAGAATGGTTTGTGTTGGAAAGGACCTTAAAGATCATTTCCTTCCAGCCCCTGGAAGGCAATGTCCCATGGGAAGGGACATTTTCCACTGTCCCAGGCTGCTCAGAGCCCTGTCCAGCCTGGCCCTGGACACTTCCAGGGATCCTCTGTGTTCAGTACTGCAGCCTTTCCTGACCTGCACCACCCTCACCAAAAACCTCTGTGGAATGATAAAGAGCCTGGGACCTCAGTAAATTGCTCTTTCTAAATACACACAGAACTCACAATGTGAGACCACACTGCCATTTCTAGACAGGGAGTACCTCTGCTGACATTACACACAAAAATAGCTAATTATTCTTGGGCAAAATTCAAAAGACTAAAGAAACCAGTGAAACTGCCTTAGTTATTTCTTCTTATCTTTTTTCATAACCCTGATAAACTGAATTTAGTGCAGCAGGAAATATCACATAGGCACCTATTAAGATCTTACATGTGAAAGAGATTGGATTTGGATAATGAAGATTAAAGCAGATTTTGCAAGCATAAATCTACTTTACATTTTGTAAGGAAGTAATGATCATAAATACCCAGGCAACACAGAAACATCTCAGGATTAGGAAAATGTTACTACCATTCTCAGTTATAGAACTACAAAGAAAAAATTCCATACCAAAACAAATTAAAACTTCCTGAATAACTACCATCAGAATGGGAAAATAAAAGAAAAGTGGTAAAAACAAAATCTCATAAACTCCAAGCAGAGATTTAGGAAGTTAGATTTCTATCCCTGACTTCTTTAGATATTAATCTCTAACCTTCTTTTACTAACAAAACAAGAATTTCTAAGGAAATACAGACTTTTGGAAAGAAAATGCCTACAGAAATACACAACCACTTTTACATTTTATCTCTTTTCTTCTCCCCTCTGCTAGTATCCCTAAGTGCTCAAAAAATGCTTTAGTGAGCTGCTCTGTATTATATAGGGACATCGACTTCTCCCACTTCCAGCAGGCTCCACTTGCTAATTAGCCCTTAATTAAAATGAGTTGCAGCTGGTTTGAGACACTCCCCTCTCCCCAACCTCAGTGCCCTGTTTCTAATTTCAGAACTAATAAAAATTCCCACAAGCTAGTCTGGTCTGGGTACTTTTCTGGGGAGAGTATATTCAGCATTTTTTTATTGCTCTTTCCTCTTCCTCTCCTCTGTCTTCTAAGTACATAATTTTAAGTATAGATTTTGCTTCTTGTTGAGGTTTTTTTTTTCTCATTTTCTTTTTATTTCTCTAGTGTTTCTCTGCTGTTTAGAAAGAGCTGTTGCAGTGAATTATACACTTTTTTTTCTTTTTCCTAGCTTTAAAACTTGTTTCAGTTGTTGATTTGATGAGGCTTTAGGCTTGATTAGACTGAGAGCCTGACAATAAAATCTTGCTAAGGGCCAGTGCAGATGTCTTATAAGGTTCCCAGATACTGCTGCCAAAACATTTTAACTGGGGCTTGAGATTCTGCTATTCCTGCCTTTCCACTCAATTAAATTAAATTCCATTTAGATTTTGTGATGGGGACAAACATCCACACAGGATGAAACCAAAGCTCACAAACTCAATTTGACCTTCCCTGGGCTTGCAAAAGTCTGCAAGGATGAAAAGCTGGGCAGCCTCTTCTCTCTCTACTGTGACCATGTCTCACCATGTTCCTGGGTAAACATCACTGAACAAACCTCGTTTCAGCTTCCTTGTTATGTTCCTGATCACCCTTCTGAGAGTTAATCTGATATAAACCAAGAGACACATTAGGGTCTCCAGGAAATGCTCTGAAATGGTTACTGCACCAGACAAATAGAGATGTGAGCAGAGTTTTAAAGAAAAAAAAAATCTGCAAGAAAAAGTGGGGGAAAAAAGAAGTGCATGGATACTTTCAGTTCTGAGAAAGCAACTTGAAGTCATGGTTTGTGTATTCTCTTAAAAAAAAGATATATTTGACACTTAAATATAACCAATAACAGAATTCAGTCCACTGAGCATGAGAGGTACAAGAAGGAGAGGCAAATAATGGATGCATTATTTTATTCTCCCCAGAAGTGTTGATCTTATTAGGCAAATAATATTTAAGATCTTCTCTCCTTTTGTATTGGCAACAGAAATGTAACCACTCCTCCTTTGGACAATTTTGTATACAGAGTATGATAACTGCAGTTTGCCTTTCTGCTATTTCTAGAAATTCCAGAAGGGTTTTAGCTCAGTTCTTGGGGCATCTGGATCCAGATTTTTGTTTTATTCATTTATTATATTTATTTTCTGTCTTGCAATCACACTCATATTTCTCTCCCACTCAAAAATTTGGGATTGGTTTCATCTCTACCCTTCATGTGTGAACTGGAACTCAAAATAAATCATTAAACAGGCTATTTTGTGGGGAAAAAATGAAACATTTGGTGTCAGATTCATTTGTTTAAATCAAATTTTAAGATAAAAATGTCATTGCATAATTTCTGGAGAAAAAAAAAAAGAAATATAAATA